AAAATTTAATTTAATAAAAATTAGTTTCTCTAATTTAAACCAGAACATTGTTTTCTGAGGTTTTAACTTTTTTTTTCCTCTGGGATGAGACATGAGGTGACCTCTGCAGCATATGGTTACCTTAGGAATACATACTGATACGCTGTATACTGTACAGATGTTTCCTACCACATATTTAAAAAAATCTTTATGGTCACTATTTCTTTATCACATGATATTATGAAATCTTTCCTTAGTGATTAATTTCCAAGATAAATGTTTCTACTACCTCATTTTAAATGTTGGACAATTACTAAGAAGACAGCACAAATTGATTTCTATCTACACTGTGGAGCAGGTGTCCTTTTTGAGTCATGGACCCCAGAAACATACTCTGTATCATCAGCTGCATGTTGGGGTGAGACCTGAGTGACATATGTATCCCATCTTGTATCTCTCCTTGTGGATGTGTAAGGAGAGAGTCGAAGTGCTCCAACAGGTCACCAGTCCAGGTGGCCAGGAAACCAGAATGGCAGTATACCCCAAAGAGCATACCTGTTACAGAGCTGTTTTGTATATTGTGGATTTTTGGAAGTTACAATCCTTGACTTTGAAAAACTCATTCAGTGCCTGCTTTCATCTGTAGCATCTTAAATACCTTTAAAAATATGTTTTGCCTGAAAACAACTCAAACTTCTCATTGATTTTGAGAAGAGCAGTTAGTCTAGCGCAAGGAGTTTTGAAAACCCTGTTTTGAAAACCCTGGTTTGATTTCAAGGTATAGAGCCTCAGCTGGTGTAGCTCTGATAGTTGAAAGCATCAGATGCCATCTTGCTGCCACCCAAAAACTATTTGGACAACAAGCAAATATTAAGATAGTCTAAGTTCTGATCTCATTTCCTCTAGGCAACTGTGAAATAAATTTTGTGGGTTTTGATGGGTTTGCATATGCTCAACTGAGATAAAAATCTGGCTAAGTCACCACACTTCTATCTAAGTAGATAGATCTTACAGGACTTGTGAGAACTTCATTGCCTTTTCCAGTGTTACAGCTGTGAACAGTTTCATAGAACCCTATCTAAAACATCAGTGTTAAATTTGTTTCATTTTTTGTCTCCTTTTTTTTTTTTTTTTTAACTGTCAAACATAAATTTAGGTCCAGCTGGTGCAGAATGTCAGTGTCCTTCTGAAGGTCATTGGTATTTAGCCAATAATAACAAGCACTGTATTGTGGATAACGGTACCAGGTGTGATACTGGTTTCTTCACATGCCTTAATGGGCAATGTATCTCCGAGAGATGGAAATGCGACAATGACAATGATTGTGGTGATGGCAGTGATGAGTTGGAAAGTGTGTGTGGTAAGCATTTAAAATAACTGCATGAGAAAGTGATGCATGCTCTGTCTTGCCTGTACTGTATTCTCTATCACTTTTATGGCTCTGTGATCATGGATCTTATGGCTGTAGTTTGGAAACGATCTCTTGCTTGTTCACAGACTTGAGGTCTGAATGGCTACTGGTTTGCTCTAGAATCCAAAGCCACTATAGTATTGTATTTTTAATATGTATAGCCAATTTCTATTTTGTTTAATTCAAATATGTATTTTACTTTTCATGCAGTCCGTTTTGCAGCTGTGTTTGCCCTGGCAGGTAAAAATATTGTGATTTTACTTGTTACTTGGTCAGAGAACTTAGATTACATTTTATCCTTATATATTCTTTTTTTTAAAAAAAAAAATTTTTATTTATTTCCTGCAGCTTTCCATACTTGTCAGCCAACAGCTTTTACCTGTGGTAATGGGCGATGTGTTCCCTATCATTACCGCTGTGATCACTACAATGACTGTAGAGATAACAGTGATGAGGTTGGCTGCTTGTTCCGAACTTGTGACTCCCACACAGAATTTACTTGCAATAATGGAAGGTGTATATCTCTTCAGTACGTCTGCAATGGAGTAAACAACTGTTACGATAACGGCACATCAGATGAGAGAAATTGCCGTAAGTTTATCCTAATTACCTAGTGCGTCTTTGAGTCTGACTCTTTAGACCGAAGAAGCAAATCTGTTTGTGTGTGAAGAATTATGACAAAATCAGCAAAAAGGATGAAAGATTTCTTTATTTATGTTACAGATTCTGCTTTGTGTTATTTGAAACAAATAGAATTGTTAAGAGATTCTTGAGTACTCTAAGATACTACAGAGTAACTATTGCTTTAAATAGTCTGCCTTGATGCAACAAATGCTCATGCAGTGCTTAATGTTAGGTCTTGTGAGTAATCCCATGGACTTCAAAAAGATTATTTCAGATTAATTGGATGCAGGGCTTATATTTTTGCAGGATTAGCCTGGAGTTTGACAGTGGGTTCTTACTTTGTGTCATGCTATGTTAATTATACTAGATTTAATCATCAGGAGTGTATATTGTGACTCTTACACAGACACAGTTTATATTTATTCTGTTTAAAATTATATGCCTTATAGCTCTCAAAAAGTTATCAGTTATGTTTGTTTTCCTTAAGATGTAAACTGTGATTAGTTCAATATTGACTACTATTGCAGTTAATCAAACTAAACATGTCTTTGCACTAAGATTACATTCTTCAGTGGAGAATTTATATCTGGAGTTAGAGAAATTGATGAAAATGTGTTTAGAGAATTTTTTTACATTTTTGTGTGCACACTGATTTTTTTTTTTTTTTTAAACATTATTTGTGACAATTTTTTTATTCTCAGTGAAATCTGAATATTTGAAATTTCTGGTCTATTAGTAATTTGTAGTTGGTCTGATGATTCGTACAGCACCAGCTGGTTGCAAATGCAGGCATTACAGTGTGAATACATGTCAATTTACATTCCCTTACCCTGAAGTATTGGCATGTGTTTCTTTGATCATACTTTTGTCAGGATTTTTGTCAATAAAAGCAATTGTCTATTGTTTCCATATAGCATAAGCAGTATGAGTGCACTTTAGCAAGCGAGCGACATGGGACTCTTTAACAGTATTATGTGTCTTTCAATGAGATACAGCATAATGGTATTTTAAAAAGTTCTAAAGAACTTTTGCTTTTGTTTTTCCTCCCTCCTTAAAGCGGAGCGCACTTGCCAGTCTGGTTTTACAAAATGTCAAAGCACAAATATTTGCATTCCTCGAACATATTTGTGTGATGGTGATAATGACTGTGGAGATATGAGTGATGAGAGCCCTACTCACTGTGGTAAGTTAATAGGGCCTCAGTTACTTTTCTTGTACTTCAGTAATTTATTCCACTGCTCTTTACCTTTGACATAACTCCAACTGTTCTCAAAACATCTACTCTTGTAATACTGAAAGAGTTATAAGGTATATGCATTGTATTATTAGCTCCTAATTACCTAAATCATGCTTTTAGCTAATAAAAAAGATCATAATTTTTTGCAGCATTTTTATACAGCATTTGAGGGATCATTCCTTTTGCTTATTCTGCTCTGTATCCTTTATGGTTTTCCAAGGTAATTGGTACTAAAGTATTATAGCAAGTTGGCTTTTTCTGGAACTTTAACATTAAAATATTTTTCCTTCTGATCAAATGAAATTGTGTACAGTCTCAAATGTAATTTCTTTTAGCTCTTTCATGTAGTTATGTATGCCTTAGCATATGATTTGTTGTTCATTGTAGCTTCCAGTTAGTGTATAAAAGTGTCTAGTTTTCAGTCAGCCTTAATTGCAAACCAGCCTATTTTCGCTAGTACAGACATTTGTATTACGTAGTAGTTAGGTAGTACTTTTCCCATATAAAATGTTTTGGATCAGTTCATTATTTTCAGATAATGATTTATTTTTAGTATTGCCTGAGTGGATTATTTTTGCTTTCACTAGTTTTCCTAAAGGTACCTGCCTTGAATTAACTATGCCACAATTTTTCTAAAATACGAGTTCAATTTTTCTAGCCGAAATGTGGCCACTTTTATCTATGGACCCACACATGTCAAAAATGTGTGGCTGTATATACAGACATAGTGAGTCTTGTGTTGCTCATGAAAGGTGTGCTTTGTCCCTTCTACTGTTTATGTCCCAGCAGCACTGCTGAATTACTTAAATTGAGAAGTGGTGAAGGGCAAGAAAGAGGGAGAGAAGGGCCTTCCTTCATCTCCCATTCTCCTTAAGACATTAATGAGCAATGTGTTAATTGCCTTTGATTTCCATCATTAAAGGCCCATAGAAGAGGAAGTTAGAAGGCCAGACTGGATCCTTTTTGGTATCTTGAAATCATCAGAGGGTATAGTAAAGTATCAGTAACTACTGAAGAAATTATTAAACCCACTATACATGCCAGGATCAAGGGGCTCAGCCAAAGTGCAGAAGAAATATTTGCAGCGTGCTTACCTGGAACTATTCAGTGTTACAGTTTGTTCTTCACTGCCATTAAGAAAAGATTCCTACCTGCAAGTGAAGAAAAATTGGTGGGAGAACAAGGAAAGCATTATCTACCATGAGATATTACTTCCTTACTGCACCTTTTGATTCCTTGTAAAGCATGGAGTCTGCTAGTGCCTGGTTTGGGCACTGGAGAAATGAGTATATTGGACTGCGGTCATTTTCTTGTGCACAAATCTCAAGTATAAACATAGAACATCTTTACAGTTGCTGCATGCAATCCTATTTCCAGGGCAAGTTCTGTCTACTTATTAGCTGATACGTATACCCAAGGAGAGAATTAAGCCCATTTTTTGCATACAAATCAAGCTAGTTTGTACAATGAACTCTTTGCAGATAGGCTGTAAAAAGAAAGCCTTCCTAGCATAATTTTTTCTCTTTCTTTTTTGGGGTCTGTAATATTTTTGCATAACATGGACTCAAAAGCAACTTAAAACAAGTTGGAAAGGTAACAGAAAGAAAGAAGTCATACATAGGTTTTTTCTTCCAGTCTCACTGACTTGCACAAATAGTGAGTTTCGTTGTACATCGGGACGTTGTATTCCTGCTCATTGGTACTGTGATCAAGGAATAGACTGTGCTGATGGCTCTGATGAACCTGCCTCTTGTGGTAAGTTTACACTCAGAAGATACAACATGATGGGTTATGGGAAATAAGTAGTTTCTCTTGTAGGCAGCAGCTTGAATCCAGACTAGGTGGAAGATAAGTATCTTCTGAGGTTTATTCACTGACTCTAAATAATCTGAGTCATTGAGTAATTCAAGTCTTAAATACTTAAAGCAGTGTATGGAATATGAAGGCTTTTAGTTGCCACAATTATTGCTCTTAATGTGATTACTCTTAATGTATAACCTCCTGTCTCTTTATAAGACTGTGATGGTGGTAAATCAAGTGAGGAGAAGTAGCAAGTATTTTGATATTGTTTTGGATGTAAAAGCAGATGTCATGCTGTACAGAAAGTGTGTGTGCAATATTGCATTTGGGGAAAAAAGGAATGTAGGATGCAGAGGAACACTGTTGACACAGTATGAGGTAGAGTATCATAGTATCACAATAAGCAAATCGTGTAGGTACAGTAGAAGGTGATGGTAATAAGCAGCAGAGTGGGGAAGAACATGAAAAGAAGTAATCTCCAGGGAGGAGGAGGAAGGGCTAACTGAAGTCACTGAGAATTGATATTACAACATAGTCATTATTCTCACTGTAAAAGTTGGCATAACACAAGGCAGAACAGATTCTTCTGTGATTTAAGTAGGGCTGATAGCTCACTTTGCACATTGCTGGAGTTGCACCTTTAGCTTAAGAAAACGTCTTGCAGCTTATACCTTAACTGTCTTACAGTTAAGCTTCTATTTTACATTTCACTATCACAAGATTCTTCCTAAAATACCCTTCTTAGTAGATTTTCATGGCAGTGCAGGTTAGTTTAACAAGCAGGGTGACTGTGTTAATTTTTAAGTGCCCCAAGTGCGGACTTGTTCGAGTGACCAGTTCAGATGTGATGATGGCAGATGCATCCCAGCAACATGGATCTGTGATGGTGATAATGACTGTGGAGATATGAGTGATGAGGATCAAAGACATAATTGTGGTAGGTCTTTAATGCAAATAGATACTGCACTTTCTTTGTTTCTCCTGCAGGCATTTTTTAGAAAACAACCACCCCACCCCCAAACTCTGCCAATTTTTCTATCCATAAAGGTGCACATTAAGCATGAGGTACACTCTTCCTATACCTTCATTTTCATTGTATTTAATTAAAATTGAATATCTTACTGGTAAAAAAAAAAAAAAAAATTTGTTCTAATTTTGTGGTTACTCTTCTTTGAATTGTTGAGTTCAAATGGAGATATAATTAACCTGGGTTGTTTGTACAGTCTGGGCAGTAATAGCAGCTTCAGTGGAGATACTCCCTGATCGTCACGCACTACATCTAGTGCATATTAATAACCACATAGTTTTGGCATAATGTCTTTAAAAATCAGTGAGCAAAATAAGTGTGGCTGTTTAGAGGGTGAACAAAGGGAAGAAGGTTCACTAAGCCTGGTCGCGCTTCTTGATTGTTTTAACAGCAGTTGGATACGCTTGCAGTCCTTGCACGTGCAGCAGAGCATGGCTCTGTTGTGGATTATGGGTGGATATCCAGGCTGTGTGTGTGTGTGTGTGTGTGGCAGGGGAGGGGGTTACATGCACAGAGTATAACTTGGCATGTCAGTGAACATGCTTTTCTTTCAGCAAACCGCAACTGCACAGCAGCAGAGTTCACATGCATCAACAATCGACCCCCACTCAGGAGGTGCATTCCTCGGGCATGGGTCTGTGATGGTGATGCTGACTGCAGTGATGCATTTGATGAACACCAGAACTGCACACGAAGGTCTTGCACAGAAAATGAGTTTACTTGTAATAATGGCTTGTGCATCCGAAACACATACAGGTTTGTAGCTACCTGAGCCACTGAGGAAATTCTCAAAATTTGCTTAAAGTGAAGGAGCTAATTCAACCTTTTTTTCACACTATTTAGTTGTTAAGTAGATCTGCATATTGTAATTGAACTATTTATCTGCTCTGCATTCATGCATTAGTTTTAACTTGAAAATGCTCTGGAATTTTCTATGTTAATATCCCCAGTGCTCACCAGTAATGTTTAATCCTTTTTATTGTACCTAGTAACCTCTGCTGGGGTGATTCTGTTCAGCTTGTAATGCATATGGGGAATACAAGCAGGACTGACAGGATCAGACTCTATATAATATGACCCTGATTTCTGAAAGTCTCTTCCATTGGTGCCAATAATATCTGACCTTTGGAAATCAGGAGAGTATATCTATGACTCTCCCCTAGAGATAGTGACTGCCTTCTTATATTTGACAAGTGTTCATTCTTCTTCAGATGTGACAGGCGGAATGACTGTGGTGACAGCAGTGATGAAAGGGGATGCATCTATGAACCGTGTCAACAGCACCAGTTTACTTGTCAGAATGGGCGCTGCATTTCCAAGGCTTACATCTGTGATGGGGATAATGACTGTGGTGATGAATCTGATGAGCTGGAACATCTCTGTAGCACACCAGAAGCAACCTGCTCTCCCCATCATTTTAAATGTGACAATGGAAACTGCATCGAAATGGTTAAAGTCTGCAATCAGCTAGATGATTGCTTAGATAATAGTGATGAAAAAGGATGTGGTATGTGTAGATTTATTTGTACTGTCTTATTGACTTTAAAACGCTTGGGCAGCTTTAAAAAAAAAAAAGAACTCTTAAGACAATTGCTAAATTACAATCATATCTATTCCACGGTTGTCTCTCAGGATTATAAGAAATGTATAGATCTAATTTTTTGGTTTAATTAACTCATACTTATTATATACTGTTTTAACAAACCGTGAAAATTAGCTAATGAAATTAGCTAACTATATTTAGTTTATACATTGTTACGTATTGCGCTTACATTTCCAAAATACACCATTTGTAACTGTATATTTTGCACTCAGTGTATTTGGTGACAGACCTCAAAGGTGCTAGAATTATTTTATATTAGATTAGAGTCTTTTCCTTGCTCCTTTATTACAGCAGCCCAGATTCATATTCAGCGTTTTCAGGGGGCAGCAAGGAGAGAGAGACAGCGAGAGTACATTGGAAAGTGACTGCACTATTTTCTCTGCTAGACCGTTCCTTGAATAGGACTCCTTTCCTTCCCCAGGTATAAATGAATGCAGTGACCCTTCAATCAGTGGATGTGATCATGACTGTACAGACACACAGACAAGTTTCTACTGTTCTTGTCATCCCGGATACAAACTTATGTCTGATAAACGGACTTGTGATGATATTGATGAGTGCAATGAAACTCCTTCAGTATGTAGCCAGATTTGTGAGAACACAGCTGGCTCCTACATCTGTAAGTGTGCCCCAGGCTATATCCGGGAGCCTGACGGAAAAAGTTGCCGGCAAAATAGTAATATCTCCCCATACCTTATTTTTAGCAACCGTTACTATCTGAGAAATCTCACAGCAGATGGCCAGTCTTACTCTCTCATTTTGCAAGGACTGAGAAATGTGGTGGCACTGGACTTTGACAGGGTGGAAAAGAGGTTGTACTGGATTGATGTGGGGAGGAAGGTCATTGAACGAATGTTCCTAAATGGAACAAATAAGGAGGCAGTGATAAGTGATGATGTGCCCAACGGGGAAGGTATCGCTGTTGACTGGGTTGGCAGGTAAGAAAATATATTTTCTGTCTTTCTGGGCTACTAAGGAGATTATGTGTGAGGGAGTTTATCTTAAAGTTTTTCTCCCACTTCATATGAAATTCCCAATGAGTGCTGAAATCGTTTTGGATTGTGCATGCAGTCTTATACAACTGCTCTGGAATTGTTTATTAGCATCTAATACATTACATAACACTTTTCTTTAATTGCTCTCATATCTAGTATACTGAGGTTATATCAGAGTTGCACTCTCATCAATAATAAAGTAGTGTGTATGACCCTTGGGAAAAACTTGTTAGGAAACCATTAATGAACAGACTAGGCAAGCAGGCAGGTGGGATGTTATATGTGGCTGTGGGGTACGGATTCTGAGCTTACGCTCTTTATTCCTTTGCTAGCAATTGTTGGGGTTGGGATGCAGGCTTCACTCTACGCATAAACAATATGTTGCAACAGGTAACTAGATTCCAGTGAAGTAAGTAGTAATAAACATTAATGAAATTTAGCTCCCGTACCAATGCGAAGACCATGTTTCTTTTGCTCTTGAAAACTGGACCTTTAACTGACACTCAAACAACATGATCCACATCATTTGCTGTAAGGAGGGCAGTGTAAGGGTGAGGTAATTGAAAGCACTTTGCATTATGGTCATTTTTTAATTGCCTGATGTGTGTCAAAAAGTAGTCTGATTTACTCCCACAGAAAATCTGTCCTTATGTGGTACCCTCTCTGACAGTGTTCTTGGCTGTGTTTCATCAGGTTTTGCTTTGAGTACAGTACTATCAGTATGAAAAGTTTGAATAACATGGATCAGACTGCAAAATAATGACAATGGTTCAAAAAGTCACATTTGGAACTTATATGAGAGTGTTTGTATGAATATGTCAACATAATAGTTTTTATTTTTAAACTACTTTGTCTCTAAACCCAACGATAATTAATGTTGCCAGCAGTCCCAAATGCTTTATGATTCATGGAGAGGCAAGGAAGGAAAAGCCTAATTTTAGCTGAAGTGGTCCTAGTGCTCCATTACTAATATAGTTGCTGAATGATTTCAGCTAGCATTAGTTATGTCTTCAGTCAGTTTTTGTTCAGGTGTTTCAGAAAGGCTGAAGGATGATACAATGGTAGGGGAGGTTTTCTGCTCACTTTCAGTACAGGGAGAGGACTGGAGGATGCCATGAGGTGCGGGTTGGGGAAGACTACCTTCTCCTCCCTGGTGGGAATGGTACAGCTCAGGGTGGTGTAGAGAGAGACTTTATCTGTCAGGCTATTTCTGGAATGACCCTGGGGATGCTGGAGCTGACCAGCTGTGCAGACAATTTCAAAATACCCTGCTGTAGTTCTAATTAAATTAAATGCTTTGTTTTGTTGCAGGCTTTTTAAAAATCATCACTTCAGCTTGCATGATTTCTTTGATTACAGCTGTGTATAATTCCTAGGCAGTAATAGAAGTGTTAGAAAATTCTAGGTGAAGTTTAAATTTGGCCATCAAACTGCTTAGGAATTTTCAAAGGAGAACCTGGCAACTGTTCTACCTGCTTGATGAGAGCAGAGGTAGCAGCATGGAACAGATGGCGATTCTCTCCAATACTTTACAGCCCTGGTCACAGTCCATTGCACTGCATGTGTGTTTTCCTACTCCTCTTTGCTGGTCATTGTTGGTAGGAGAAGAAGGGAAGACAAGGTGGGGTTAGGAATTTACAGGCAAATGGCATATTATTACTCAACTGGGCAACTTTGAATTTGGCCAAGTTTGAATTTGGCACCAATGACTGTGGATGCAGGAACAGCAGGAGTGAAAAGGGCAGTCTGGAGCATGATGTAGAAGAGATGTCAGTACAGTATGTGTATTCTTCCTTTGCAGTGGATATACTGCTTCTAGGAGAAAAAACACTGTGAAATTTAAGATGCTGTGAAGCAAATTAAACCAAAAAAAGTAAATAAGAGTAAATAAATTAACTCTAAAACATTTCAGAAAATTGTACTGGGTGGATGCCTACAAAGATTGTCTCTATGTCTCTGAACTTGATGGAAGATTCCGGAAAAAACTGGTGGATCGGTGTGTGGATGCCAACAACACTTTCTGCTTTCAGTACCCCAGAGCAATTGTTGTTCATCCAAAATATGGGTATGACATTTCAAGAGTGCTTTTCCTTTCTTTTGCAAATAGTCTTGCACTGTCTCTGAAAATCTGAAATAAATTTTGGCTGCCTGCACTTAGATTTGCATGGCATTAGTTGCAGCTTAGGAAAAATAGTAGCTTGCCTTTTGTAGATATATATATATGCAGGGCCGTCAGATATCATTGAAAGTGGAATTTGGTTCCCCATGGACAAGGAAGTTTTGATTGCAAGGCTAAAAAGGTTGATAGAAGTGTGTGTGGTTTGATAGACAGTGGGGCTGCCAGTTGCATTCTTTAAAGACAGTTGTGATCACACAATTTTCTGCTGTAGCAATTAAAGTAACAAATATATTAACCTTTTTCTTATCTTCCTCAATCTCTGCCTTAGTTCTGTTGCAGGAAATACTATATTTGAGGTGTAGCTTCTAATATTTACTTCAGCATATTTTTACTACGATCCTAACTATAAGTATTTATTTGAACAGACAGATTTACTGGACGGACTGGGCAGATCGAGCCTATATTGGGCGAGCAGGCATGGATGGCAAGGAGAAGACGGTGATAATCTCTACTAAGTTAGAGTGGCCCAATGGACTCACCATAGATTACACCAATGACAAGCTCTACTGGGCAGATGCCCATCTAAATTACATTGAGTACGTATGCAGAAGAGAATAAAAAACTGAATAATTGCGCATGTCAGATTGCAGTGGTAGCATTCATAGATGCTGTAAGCATCGTATGTATTTCTACCCACTTATTCTATAGGAAACCAGAGCTAGAAAGTCTGGAGTAGTAGGCAATACGAATCGCTAGATGACACAGTAGCCTAGTTCCTGTATTTGCATCCTAGGTCCCACTGGAAGTGGTCCAAAAATTATAGTGAAAAGATCCACAGTCTGTGTTCAAATATGCATCTTCTCTAGATGTACCTGAACCTGAACCAAAGCAAAGCTGAGTGTAAAATCACTATTTTTTCTGATTCTCTTGTTTCTGCCTATTGAGTTGAGCTGTAACTAAACAAGTTATGTGCTAATAAAATAGTAGACAAATCATTAGAAGATGTCTGAATGTTTGTCCATAGGTATGACATGGAATTTCCTGTTAGCATATGGGTTTTTTTTCTTAATCAAGAAAAATGTATTAATTGCTTCTAGTGTTAGAAAATTTCCACTTAAATATCAGTAAAAATGAATAACTAGCATTCTGGTTCTTGTCAAGGCATCAAAATACTTTAAAAACAGTCCTTTGTTATTTATATTAGTATTTATGTTTGTATTCATATTTACATTTAGTTTTATATTTACTTTTGTTCTTCTTTATGTTCATAATTCTGGCAGCGTTTTCTATGCTGAAGTCTTAAAATGTCTTTTTTAAAATGTATATTAATTATATGTATGTTTCTCTCTCTCTTGTATTTCATAATTTCCCCCTATAGCAAGGTGATAGTAAAAATGTAAAATCTTATTAAAGATACTCATCAGAGGAGGCTCTAAATCAGAAAGACATGTAAAATTTAGGAATATAGGAGGCCTATTATTGTCTTAAATGTTCTATTATTAGCTTGCCTGGATCATGCAGACTGCTAGTCTCCCATGTGACAAAACCAACTTGCTGTAAGCCAGTAAATGTGCAAAATTTCATTGGACTAGCTGATATGTTTCTGTGGGAAGACTTTACATTTCGGTGGATGTTCCTCTATTCCATTTATTTGCCTAAAATAAGCTGGTTTACTCTCCTGTATATCTTAAAATGAATTCACTGAGGCCAGTGCTCTATCATTAGGGACTAAAGAAACTGCAGTTCCACATTGCATTATCCTTGTCACCAATAATGAAGTACCATAAGCATACATAATAAAGATGTGAAGATGTTTTAGCATTTATCTGAACGTTATGCACATATTTTTCTTTGTGTAGGTACTCTGACCTGGATGGACATCATCGTCACACAGTATATGATGGGACTTTACCTCATCCATTTGCAATAACAATTTTTGAAGACACGATATATTGGACTGACTGGAACACAAGAACTGTTGAGAAGGGAAACAAATATGACGGATCAGACAGGACTGTTCTTGTCAACACCACACACAGGCCATTTGACATCCATGTTTACCATCCATACAGACAGCCATTTGGTGAGAAAACAAAATTAGATTTGCATTTACAGGATCAGCTGTTACCCAGAGACTAATTGTAAAGGGTCCTGAGTGCACTCAGCTTTTGCCTTTACTGAGGGGAATAAAATGCACAGAGTAAATGTAGGCCTCTACATTTATAAATGGCCTTTTCTTTGAATAGCAGTGGCTGGAAATGCATAATTTTAAATTAGTTTCTAAAACATCATGGCTTGATAGCATATATTTCCTGTCTATGAAATCATACATTTTTCTCTCACTAAGTCCCTATTTATCTAGGTTTTGTTTTTCAACTTATTACATTTAAGCTTTCAATACAGTATTAGAGGAGTCTGTTGTAGATTGAGACCTTTGTGTCCTGGGATTTGCAAAGTATGGTAATATTTATTCTTCTGTTTTACCAGTTAATAATCCTTGTGGCACGAACAATGGTGGTTGTTCCCATCTTTGTCTAATAAAAGCTGGTGGTCAGGCTTATTCCTGTGAATGTCCCGATAACTTCGTGATAGTAGAGTTCGGCAATACAGCCCACTGCCTTCCAATGTGCTCTAGCACCCAGTTTCTCTGTGCAGACACTGAGAGGTAAGTCACTGCTCACTGTCTTTTTCTCAATGGCTTTTTAAGGATGTATTTTACAGTTTAGTCTCTTCAAAAGGGCGTGAAATTAAGGATTGCTTCTGCTCTCATTATGAGTTTGTGTTGTGTTTGCAAAGACAAAGCCAGGACCAGACAGGCTTCCATTTTGGACAAATACTTCTGGACTCATTGTTTAAATAGTATTTTTTTCCCTTTTTTCCTGTTACATGACATTGCTAATGTAGCAAAGTTTGGCTTGTTAGAAACATGTAATTCAGAAACCATTTCCAGTTGAATTCACAAACCTGCAACCTTCTCTTATTCTTTGTTCGTCTTTTGCAATGTATGTGTTTCTGCTGAATATATGTGGTCTGCTAGTGGCCCAGGAAAGCCATTTAGCTGATGTGGGGGCACATTTTCAACCCTTTTTCTGAGACAACAGCAGTGGAGGGAGAGGAATGGTGATATAAGGGCTACTGTGCTGATATTGTATGACTCTGGAGCCTGTGAGGCAGGTGTGCTTATTGGGTGACCTTTTGAAGCAGTGTTACAATGATAATCCCTAGTGAAATTCTTGTGCTAAAGTTCAGGTGAGTTATTAAAATGTTACCTCATTAAAAATCCAGTTGAAGATTGATTTAAAAAGCATCAGAGATGGTTACCACAAATACACATAAAAATTAAATCCTTATTAATTTGCTGTGAACTTCCTTCTAGAGGCCCACCAGTATCATCTGTTTCTGATGACAGTATTCTGGCATATTTTGTTAGCATTTGCCATATGAAATAGAAGACATGAAATTCAAGATGTCTTGGAAGTTTCAAGAACTAATGCTGAGACAAGACTGTCTTTTGTGCTGTAAAAGGGTGGTTGTATATCTGTAGAGACATATCCTCAACAAAGAAAACTCTGTTTTCTCTTTGTAGGTGTATTCCTATCTGGTGGAAGTGTGATGGACAGAGGGACTGCCGAGATGGCTCTGATGAGCCCCCTACCTGTCCACACCGATACTGCCCTGTTGGTCAGTTCCAGTGTAATGATGGGAACTGCACAAGTCCACATTTCTTGTGCAATACCCAGCCAGATTGCTATGACAGATCAGATGAAGATCCTGTACTCTGTGGTATGTTACAACTAATACATTTAAGTGTTTTGCCAATACAAAACGTGTAAACAATATGTAAATTTCAGAATCATTATCCCTTTTTTACAGACGAAAAGGTGAGGTAGACAGATGCAGTCTTTTCTGGTCTTGCACCTGCTAGAGCAATTCGCCTCAGTCCAAACCCAGGGTAAAGGAGAGCAAAAATGTACTATATCAAAACATAAACATTTTCTATACCTTTGAGGCAGATTTGCACTGGTCTAAATAACAATCTGAGGTATAAAATGCTAGAAGCAGGACCCACTTTGTTTTGTTCCAAGTAAAGCAGTGTGAGTATGAGGAATCTAAGGCTTCCTAATGCCCAAGTCAGCCTACCACGTATGCTAATTTGCCCTGTTTTCTAGACCTTTGCGTGATGGGACAAAATAATTTCACCTTCTGCATCACACAAAATCTAGTGCATGTGGGAAGATTTGTTTTGGAGAGCTGTTTGTGATGGCAGTATTTTAGAAATATAGTCTAATTATGCTTGTGGAATACTGTTATTTCCTTAAAAACCTGTCTTATTCCACATGTTTGTCTGATTTAAAAAAGCACATCCTTAGTTCTCTTTTTGTAAATAATGTAGTTCTGGCAGTTGCAAGCTTAGTAACATAAACGGGAGGTGTGTGGGGGAAAGCAGCGTGGCTGTATAATTGATAGTTTCATTGCCTTCCATTAGCAAAGTGTTTCTAACAATGACAGAATTAAATAAAATGTCAATTTTACCTGAGTTTCAAATAGCTAAGCTCTTAAGTGTGGCACAGGGGAATATTGAATAAGTAGAAATGTGGCAACTGCATAATGTGTCACCAGTTTTAATGTACCGGGTACAAAAAAAGTCACTTGAGGTCTGTATAATTCCTTCTGCTCATCATCTCGTGCATGGGAATAGAATCCTTTAGTCTAGAAAATGTATGTAAATCATAATGTACTGCTTCCTCTTGAGCAGTTTGACAGTACACGTGAAAAAGTAGTAGGGTGGTGTCCAGTAAGACATACAAACTGTGGAAGCAGAGGTCAGTGGTGACTCCTATTTTCATAGACCTTCAGAGCTCCCCGAGTTTGCCAGCACTGCTGACATCAGCTTCCAGTGCTTTGCCCTTTGGAGATAGAGGCTGTACATTTATAGGTTGTGGGGCTGTTATTAGCATGGTCTTCTGCTAAGTTTTCTGATATGTTCATTCATAGTCAGAGGAACAGGCTCATCAGGCAATGAACATCTAAGTTAGTAGCCTGGCCAGAGCTCCTCTGCAAAGGGACTGGGACCTCCTGCCTCAATCATGTTTGAATGCTGGGTTTACTCCCCTCTGCATTAGATGATAGTACCTGTCTTGCTTCTAGAAAAATGTAGAGCCTTAGTGAGCTTATCTGAAGATGCCTGTGGGAAATGTGCCATGTGACATTAGAAATCTGTACCTTAACTGGGCAAGTAAACATGATGTTCTAAATTTTTACTGGCTTTCTTCTTAACTTTTGGTGTAGACATGATATCGCTCAATTGACGTGATGGCAGTAGACCATGCCTGTAAGTTTCAGTATCCTAACAGCTAATTTGTATTCTTTCAGCTAATCACCAGTGTGAAACTCATCAGTGGCAGTGTGCCAATAAACGATGTATCCCAGAAGCCTGGCAGTGTGATAGAGAGGATGACTGCGGTGACAACTCGGATGAAGATAGTACTTACTGTGCCAGTAGAACCTGTCCCCCAGGCCAATTTAAATGTGACAATGGCCACTGCATCCCACAGTCCTGGAAGTGTGATGTGGATGATGATTGTGGTGATAACTCTGATGAGCCATTCCACGAATGCAGTAAGCACATAGCTGTAGTAAGCTGCCTACATTATAGTGCCCCAAAAGCAGAGCAGACTGCATTACTTAGGTTTCCTGAGGTTGAAAATTTATTGGAAAGGAATATTTCCTGCAAGCTAATTGCAATCATGTACTAAAGAGTGTTAGAAAACATAGAGACTATATGATAATTTACCACTTTCTTATTCTTGAAGGGGAAAAAGCTTATTTATGCTGGCCAGACTATCAAGAACTGGCAGCATCTCACTCTGACTTGCTTGATGCTAACGGCATCCTTTGCTTGGCCCCTAACAACACTTTTTAAGAAGGATGTTATGCTGATCCTTTGGCTATGTGGAAGCAGTGAATGCCAGTTCACTAATTTTAACCTTATTCCACTTTGGAGCATGACATATGCCATACTTTTTACAAAAAACAAAGTAAAGTGTCATTTCTTGAAGCTAAAGTTTCTCATGATGATAGGCACATGATTTGGAAACAAAAGCTTACAAGGAGAACAAACACAGAGCACAGTCTAGCCTACGTTTAACAGCAGGATTGTCCTATGTGCTCCAGCATGCCTCTTTGAGTCACTGGCCATCTGGAAGAACTTGTGACCAAGTTTTGCCATCTGAGGACAAGCTGCCTCCTCTGGCTTCCAGGTTTGGGGCTTCTATTACCACTGTTACCAGCTCTAAATACTTCAGGGAAAAGCACACTCAATGTCGTTTGAACCTGTCATAGGTTTGTAGCATATGCAGAATACAAGCAGCATAGACTGGAAAACAGTAAAATCGGATACATTTAACGCTTTCTCTTTTACACTGAAGTTAGCAGATACCTCTTTTTAGTAGAAATAATTGACTATAAATCATAACAGATTTTGAAAGGCAGTTTAGCAAGGAAGACAGTTTAATGGCTAAGTAACAAAACTAACTTTGACAACTGCCTCTTTCAGTGGGCCCTGCCTATCGGTGTGACAATCACACACAATTCAGCTGTAGAACCAACTACCGTTGCATACCGTTGTGGGCAGTGTGCAATGGGAATGATGACTGCAGAGACAACAGTGATGAACAAGGCTGTGGTATGTTTGGAGAAGAAGGTCATTTCAACATAACTTTGCACCTAAAATATTTCTCCAATTTACAAACTCCTTGACTTTCTGAAAGTCTTCAGTAATAATGTACCTGGGCATATTTTGTTTGATATCAATTCATTACCCTGGTAGTTATTTGTCTTCAGGAAAAATTCTATGTGCAGCAATTCATTGTGCAGGTTATGTGTGTATGAGCTCTGAAGATCAGGGTTTTATTATTTTGCCCAGTATGTCATCAAATGAAACAGGAAATACTTTTACTTGAGCTGAACTATTTTAGACAATTAAAACTGTCAGTGTTTTCTACATTTACTTAACTTACCTCCTGTGCTGGTGAAACCACTGGCATGGGAAGTATGATGATGCTTTCCCAAACTCTCACATTTGCATTGAAACCTCTCATACACTTATACACAAAGCTTAGAGGGAATTGGATCACTATATAAGAGCCAGAAAAGACTTGAAAGTGTAACACACCATGAGGTCAAGATGCTCTCATTTGACGTTACTAATTTTATCTCTTTGTGTTTGTATCTCAGTTCTATATAGTTATTTCAGCTATTTCTTAATCACTTCTCTATTATTTGGCCCAGTCTGTGGCACGAACATCTCTGTCTACTTCCTTTATCTTCTGTGCATTACATCTTATCCAAATACTATGCTAATGTGTGCTGTTTCACTGGCAAACTGTGTACACTGCAGAGGAGATGACTTGCAGTCCTTTTGGAGATTTCCGTTGTGACAATCATCGATGTATCCCACTGCGCTGGAAGTGTGATGGAGATAATGACTGTGGAGATAACTCTGATGAGCACAACTGCAGTGAGTTCTTTTTTGACTGTCATTATCCTTCTATTTCTTATGAGAATGGGGCAGACAGCTCTCAACTGCAACCATTCTGTTGTTTTACTCTATAGCCTGTCTTTTTTTTTTTCTGAAATACCACAGTGATGTCACAAGGAAGCATTTTGGATACATAAAAACACTGATAAATCTAGTCATCACAATAACACAAATTCCTGTTTTCCACTAAGAAGTGACATTTGAATTCTGCCCTGTGTGTAAATGTAGTATTATATAGTTCCTTAAACAATGAAAGTGGATTTTTTTTTTTTATTTGGAATAAAAATTCCTGTATAATTCTGTGATGAAAAAAAATCCACAATGAATTTCTTTTTTTCTATGTCAAGAGGGACATAGAATGTTTAACATAATTAAAGAGTATTGGGGGGAATGCTGTTTTAACATCATTTAGTTTTAAGGATTATACCACATTATCTGCCCATATTACTTTTGTCTTGTTTAATGAGACAGGTGTGGATGTTTAAATCTACATCTGGGTAACTTTTCATATTTGTACATTCATCTTAAATGAAGGTCCTCGTGAATGCACAGAAAGCGAATTCCGTTGTGACAATTTGCGCTGCATTCCTTCCCGGTGGATCTGTGATCACGACGATGACTGTGAAGACAATTCAGATGAACGTGACTGTGGTGTGTATTGTCTGGTTGCTACCTCTTACATGTTCACACTTCTGTTTCTAATGTGATAAATTATTCTGCAAAACTATCTGTCCTGGTTTCAGCTGGGATAGAGTTAATTTTC